GTGTCTGACGGCTTGTGTGGAGGAACCGTTACCTGCTGCCAGGTAGATGGGGTGCTGCTGCGCGGGACTCCAGGCCTGGATAGCGGTTCGGTTGATCTCTTTTAGCTTCATCCTAACATTAAAACAACAACACACATGTTATATGCTACGATCATCACTTTAACAAATGTCACCATTTACAGTTGGCATCCAAATTTTCCAGGTAGTGTTGTCAAAAAACTCGGTACTTCGGTACCAAGTCGGTACTAAAAAAAAAAAAATGTTACGGTACCAGCTTTTCTAGGTACCGAGTACCAGGTTAATCCAGTTCTGTTCTAGACGCGATGTCTGAAACGCTGATATGGCTCTCTCTCTCTCTGAATCCACTTGTTGACACGAAAGGAGGAAAGAGCCACATATGGAAATATTTTGGATTAGGCTAATACCACGTTGCCATAAGAGGCCGATTACATGCAAATTCGCAATTTCAAATATAGGCGCGATTCAAGCGCGCTCATAATAAAAACTCGTTGGCGTTGCATAGCAACGACAGACGCCGCGTGAGAGCAAGCGCTTTGGAAAGAATAAGCACGCGCAAAAATATAATTAAAAAACACGCGCGACATGTGAACGGCCTCTAAAGTGCTTTCGGGGTAGTTTTACGAGTACATGAGCACAGTAGTATCCACCCGACACCAGAGTACTATGGTATTAGTATTGTCATTTAATGTCAATGCCAGTTCTAGGCGTATTCTTGCCTTTATAACTCAGCAGGTTTAAAAAGCCTTTTTAAAATTAAATATGAATGCAGTTTTAGATTAAATAAAAGGACAGTCAAGTCAAATAAAACATGTTTTATGGTAATGCTACAAAGAAACCATTCATCAACATTACTTAGTTATCAACACATTGAGTGAACAATATATTTTTACAACATTAATTAATGTTTGAAAATGTTATTTATTACAAACACCTGATTGTTCATGTTTGTTGACTTAATTCATTGTGCATTAAATAAATAATGGGTTAAAACTTTACAAACAACTTTAAAAATGTGTTAGTGTATACTATTGTTTATTTTAGGTCATTTTATCTAATCTTTTTCTAAAGTGTTTATAATACAAATGTACAGTTTCCATACTTGTAACCGTGATAAACACTTAAATATATGTAAATTTAAAGTAAGCTTTGGTACCGAAATTGGTACCGAGAACCGTGAATTTTAACTGGTATTGGTACCGAATACTGAAATTTTGGTACCGTGACAACACTATTTCCAGGTAAGGAAAGGTAATAAGGTTTGTTCTGTATAGTAGACTGTATCACTCAATGGGAGCAATCTCCTAAAAATAATTCAATTAAAAATTAATAATTATTATGACAATAAACACGTGATATATTATAAAAGCAAAAGTGCAAAAGCAGCTGGGACCTTGAAATGCCAACAAATCTAATAAGATCATGCTGCTGAATAACTTAAGACATCAGGTACCCATCACAATGGGCCAATTAAATATGATTACGCTTAATTAGGGTTTCATAAACACTGTCAGCATAATAGGAGACAAGATCACAACAGACATGTCGTATTGAATGAAACATGCAATCTACACACGTAATGTCCATTTAAAACAGATAATAATGTAGCAGAGAGGCTAATGCAGCAGTCTACAAGAGGATTTTCTTGAGTTTTAAAAGTGTTTACCTTCTGTTTTCGTTCTTCCAGCGGTCAAACACACAGATGCATCCACACACAAACACGAGCGTTGCAGTGAATTAGCAAAATAACTTTATAATATCCGAGGGTTTGTGTGTTTTCTGTGGGTTTTGCCCCGGCTCCGGCTGCAGATGGACTGTATTCCACGTCCCCACTGCTGTCCATCAACGTGGCACCACAAGTTCCGCCCACTTTCGTGACGACTTCCGGCAACAACTCCCATTCCGGCGGAAGAGCTCAGTGTTGTCCTGTAAGTGTGTTTTGGCGTTTTTTGCCACATGTGTGTGTGTGTTTGTACTTCTCAAAGTGATGCTTTTAGCCGCTTCGGCGATTTGTAAGAATATGTTTGCATGTAGAAAGTTCATTGTATGAAATCATATACACTGTGGATAGATTGACAGTGTATAATCAGTCCATTTACAGCAGTACTGTGGCAGTACCATGGTACATTGATGGTATTATTCAAGGTTAAAGGATTAGTTCACCCAAAAATGAAAATGTTGTCAGTAACTATTCGCCCTCATGTCGTTCCAAACCCCCTAAGACTTTCTTTCATCTTCGAAACACAAATTAAAATCTTTTAAATGAAATCTGAGAGGCTCCATTGACAGCTACCACTTTGACGCCTCAAAAAGTTCATAAAGAGATTGTAAAACTAATCCATGTGAATCGAGCGGTTTATATGATGAACAGATATCATTTTGGCTTTTATTAACATATTACCATTGATCAGCAAACATAAACCAGCTTGACACGGGAGAACAAACCCCATTGGTTCATAACATTGCACATTGTGCCTAAACAAATTGGCAGTTATAGTTTTTCTTGGTAGCACAAAACAGAAGTAATAGTATAAGAACTAGTGTAAGCATTTGTATATAATTATAAATGTAGAAGTGAAATTGCTGTTAAATAAGCTGAATGCATTTGAAGAAAAAAGGCCTTCAAAAAGACCAATTGAGAGAACAGAGTGTTGTTAAGATGTGAAAGATTTATAGCACAATAATTAGATTTAAAGTTTTTTAGATAATAAATGTACTAACAATGTCAACATTTTTACAAAATGGTCATAAAGTAGGCTAAATCTGCTTTAATATGGTTATAAGCCAATTGAGACGTGACTATATGTACAATATAGCAAGTGTCTTATTGCTTTTATTATGATTTGCTGTTACATCATAAATTTATCACACTACACTTTTCATTCCGTTGACTTTTATTCATGCATGCAAATTCTTCAGACCACAAACGCAAGATCAGGCGAAAAGTTTCATTCCAAAGATCGAGTTTGGTGAACTCTGACCTGACAATTCACTTCACCTGAACGTGTGTGACCAGTGGAAGATCAATACGTCATGGCGTGACCTGAATTAAAAGAACGGGGGGGTTTTTTGCAATAAAGTCAAGTAAATTTACTTATTTATTAATTTTCATTTTGAGTGTATTCTTATTTCTTATGTTGAATTCATGTTTATGTCAAAAATTTCGCATACTCAAACTCTAGTGTGACCGCAGCTTTGTGCTAAACCAGAGATTCACAAGATTAGATTCCCTAATTTGAAAACCCTCTAATCTGATATAAAAAATAATTGCTGAAAAATATGTGAGTTTAATGTTGTACAACTTGATTTTTTAGTGTGTTTAGCTTCTTCTTTTTCTTTATTTTAAAGATTGTATTAATGAAACTGTATTCAAATCAATTTAAGACTAGAACCCCCTAGTGGGCCCCAGACCCCTGGCTGAGAAGATCGAGCCTGACACAACAGAACACTCCTATCAAGCAAAGACATTTAATTATGAGATTTTCTTCATTATACTGTTCAGTGAACATCAAACATTCAGCAGTAGAATTCATCCAGTACACATCCAATGTAATAATTTACAGCATATTGTTACATTGTAGAATTTCTTCCCTGACAATATGTGGGTGGGGACCATATTTCTATAACTAATAAAATGTCATTAATTTTCTTGAATAACCTGAATAACCTAATTTGAGCTTGTAATATGTTTATTGTTTCTGTGTCGAGTAAATATGAGTTACACCTTCAGATGGTTACAACTAAATTATTTCTTTCAGAGGACAAGTCCTGAAGCAGAGACTGTCAGACGGCATCACTCTCTTCATTGGTGTTAGAGCAGACAGTAGAACATAGGGTTGAGTGGGGTAAGATGAGCCAGTTGGTAAGTTGAGACACCCTTGTACCTAGGCAACTGTGCATTGCTTTTGTCATGTGACCAAACGTTGCACATCATATCCGGCTGTCTGTAAATGAGAGAAACACAAAGGAGAAGTAAGTTTGTTTTACTTGGAAAGTTTTTGTTTTTCAGAGTCATAGTATATTCAGCTCTAAAATTATACAATGCAGACTGCAAATCTGACATTTAAAACAAGATTTAAACTATATAGGTGTAAAAATAAACAGAAAGTTTTTTCATTTAAAAAAAATATATATTCAGCTCTAAAATTACTGACTGAAAATCTGACATTTAAACTATACAGGTGTAAAAATAAACAGATATATAAAGACAAAAAAAAAACAAAAACAAAAAAAAAACAACAAAGGTTATGAATTAAAAGTAATATATTTTGATAATATTTTCATTTTATAATACTTTGTAATGAAAAAAAAAAATCAATAAGAGAAGCATTTTGACTTGTGGGCTTAAACTCATGGACCACTGGTAAATCATAAAATAATTTATCAAATGTACACTGTAAAAAATATTTTCAAGATTTGTTATCACAACATATTTTCTTTTGTCAAATCAACTTTATAATAATTTATTTAGTTGAGATAACTTATTATTTTGAGTTTCTGATGATTAAATTAATCTCCTTTATTGTATTAACTCACTTTTTCCAGTTCAATCAACTTAAAATTTTAAGGCAACCAGGGTTACTTACTTTTTTAAGTTAAATCAACAATATTTTTTTACAGTGTAGTAATCACAACATTTTTTCTTTTGTCAAATCAACTTAAATAATTTATTTAGTTCAGATAACACATAATTTTGAGTTTCTGATGGTTAAATCATTCTCCTTCGTTGTATTAACTCACTTTTTCCAGTTCAATGAATTTAAAATTTTAAGGCAACCAGGTTACTTACTTTTTTAAGTTAAACCATCAATATTTTTTTTACAGTGTAAATTAAAAAAATGTATTTGATCAAAAATACAGTAAAAACAGTATTATTGTGAAATATTATTCCAATTTGTTTTCTATGTGAATATGTTAAAGTGTAATTTATTCCTGTGATGAAAGCTGCATTTTCAGCATCATTGCCAGTCTTCATCTTCAGAAATCATTCTAATATGATGAATTTGATGCTCAAGAAACATTTATGTTTATTATCAATGTTGAAAACAGCTGTGCTGTTTCTAATACATCAAATAAGAGTTCAAACAAACAACATTTGTGCAAATGTCTTCCCAGACGGCAGCACAGTGTCGGCCCACATCTGATACCTGTGAAATGTGGCCCAGATGTGGCCCGGATCTGGACCAACACTATGTTGCCATCTGGGTTTACAGTCACTTCGATCCATTGAATGTATAAAACTATTTAAAACAAATCTTACTGACATCAACTTTTGAATGTTAAAATGCAATTTCATGTTGTCAAATCCAGGAAAGCTATCATGCCACGAAACTACATCCGAAAGACTGACTGGGGCTCGGTGACCTACGAGGAGCTGGAGAAAGCGTTCGTCGAAGTCAAGCGAGGGAAATCCATCAGAACAGTGGCGAAGGAAAGGAAGATCGGCAGGTCCACCCTGCAGAGGTACATGAAGAAGGCTGAGGAAAAGAGAGAGAAGACAGTCGGATACAGGGGAACGGCGGAAGCCAAGAGGATCCTGTCCGAGGAATCGGAGGAGGAGCTGGCAGAAAACATCAGGACGCTGGCTGAACGCACACACAGTCTTACTCCAAAGAAATGCAGGGAAATGGCATTTGAATTCGCACAGAAGAACAACATTCCTGTGCCCAACAACTGGGGGGAGCAGAGGTTAGCAGGTAGGGCTTGACCTGACGGCTCTTGCAGTGAATCACACACTCCTCTTGTGTTGCTGACTTCGGTTTGTGATTCCTTAGGTCGAGATTGGCTTAATAGTTTCATAACCCGCCACGATCTCTACCGGCACATAACTGAAGCGCCGTCTTTGGGAAGCCACGGACAGGTGACAGAGCTAAAGCATATCTGAGCAAATGATTAACTGTTGATGGAGATCCTTCCAGAAACTTCCAGGCTTGGAGATATTTAAATTAATATAGTCTGAGCAATTATAGGCTCAAAAATAATTCAGAAATTGCTCTTTGAGATGAAATGATCAAAACTAAAATGATTTTTTTCTTTAAATAGAAATGAATGTAGACATGTAGAAGATTTCTTATGTCTAATAAAATACTATGTCCATTTTCTAGATCATCAGTTTCAGTCTCGTCAACCAAGACGAAATCAAAGAGGAGAGGGGTGTTCCTGTCCCGCTTCATGACGCTTCAGAGGAGGAGAGCGCTGAGATCTGTGCTTCGGACCGAGACCTGTTGAACAGAGACTTATTTCTTACATGATGTTATATATGGGAAATAAATAAGTGAAATGTAAGGGGAAAAAAAGGTTAAAATATTGTGTTGCTTAATCTTGTTTCCTGTTGGTTTAAGGATATATTTAAGAATATAAGAATAAGTACTGCAAAATTACTTGATCACACATTATTAAATTATTATTATTATCATTATTGTACTTTTGTTTATGTTTTTGTAAATAATTTTTTCTTCAAATAATGCAACAAACATTCATGAAATGTTTCAAATCTGCATCCATATACAGTAGTCACCAAAAGTGATGTCTGGCCTAGGAAAATCGACACCTTCACCCTTTATTCAAATATTATTTATGCTGACGTAATCTTTGGCCAGGTTGTCATGCAAAGAAATTATGGACACATGTAAAAACAAGAGAGATTTATTTATTTATTGATTATCCGATCATCTGATGTTGTAGTCAATGTACACTCTTAAAGTTAATGTTAATTTTTTTTTGCTAGTGATAATGTTTTGAGCTGTTTAATTCATATAATTTAATAGAAATATAAATAAATTAATTAAAACTACATTCATAAAATTAGCCCATGATGGGAACCCTTAAAAGTTTGAAAAGCATGAAGCACCTGATGTAACCTTTTAAGGTTCAATATAGAACATTTTGTTCTAAGAGAATTATTTTGCCAAAATGTGTCAAATTAATACCTTAATCAATTCTATATTTTTTTCAACCCCCCCACCCTGTATTGGTTGTCTCTGTTTCTTTAGATCTATTTTATATCTTGTGAAGAAAGAAAAAGGTGTTTCTGAAGATATTAAATACAGTGCAATCAGGAAGTATTAAGATCCTTTCGTATTGTGTTTTATATATATATCTACACTATTACTTTACTTTTGCAAATTTTCTGGCTGGTTCCCATTTACTGTTGGGTCTTTTACGAGTGATAAAACTGAGTTGATGTCCTGCGATTTGATATAAGACTTTATACAGACGGTTGAATGAAGAGAAAGTGCAACGTGCATAATGTCGGATCATGTCCCGCCTTCTAGATAAAACAGCCAATGGCTGATTAGTAAAGTCATCATGTCACTACAGAAACAGGGTTCAGAGACGGTTTTTTTTTTTTTTTTGGTCATGATTTGAGCATTTAAAAATCAAATTTATGAGACAGTTTTTGTCAGATTTCATTGCTGATGTCAAATTTGACTCAAATATGAAATTTAACCGTAAGCTTGGTGAGCTTTGGAGAATTTGATTGGAAGACATAGGAGCTGTATGACTAAAACAACTGCCGTTTCAAAGATGGCCGCTGAGTGAAATGTGAACTGGCCTTCTAAGTATTTTGAACGGCATTTTGCTAATTCCAAGTATTCTCTCAAACATTTATATTATAATATTAAGTAATATTTTTTTTTACTGCTTCATTTTTTTTTATTGTTTATTGATGGGTCAAAGTGCAGTTAAAAGGAAATAATGGGTTAAATTGGAATTTATCATGATTAATGTCGAAGTGGAAACATACAGGTCCTTCTCAAAAAAATAGCATATGGTGATAAAGTTCATTATTTTCCATAATGTAATGATAAAAATTTAACTTTCATATACTTTAGATTCATTGCACACCAACTGAAATATTTCAGGTCTTTTATTGTTTTAATACTGATGATTTTGGCATACAGCTCAAAAAATTAGCATATTTCATCCGACCAATAAAAGAAGTGTTTTTAATACAAAAAAAGTCAGCCTTCAAATAATTATGTTCAGTTATGCACTCAATACTTGATCGGGAATCCTTTTGCAGAAATAAATGCTTCAATGTGGCGTGACATGGAGGCAATCAGCCTGTGGCACTGCTGAGGTGTTATGGAGGCCCAGGATGCTTCGATAGCGGCCTTAAGCTCATCCAGAGTGTTGGGTCTTGCGTCTCTCAACTTTCTCTTCACAATATCCCACAGATTCACTATGGGGTTCAGGTCAGGAGAGTTGGCAGGCCAATTGAGCACAGTAATACGATGGCACTGTGAGCAGGTGCCAGGTCGTGCTGAAAAATGAAATCTTCATCTCCATAAAGCTTTTCAGCAGATAGAAACATGATGCGCTCCAAAATCTCCTTATAGCGCTGCATTGACCCTGCCCTTGATAAAACACAGTGGACCAACACCAGCACCCCAGACCATCACTGACTGTTGGTACTTGACACTGGACTTCAGGCATTTTGCCATTTCCTTCTCCCCAGTCTTCCTCCAGACTCTGGCACCTTGATTTCCAAATGACATGCAACCACTGAGCAACAGTCCAGTGCTGCTTCTCTGTAGTCCAGGTCAGGCGCTTCTGCCACTGTTTCTGGTTCAAAAGTGGCTTGACCTCCTGGGAAATGCGGCACCTGTAGCCCATTTCCTGCACACGTCTGTGCACGGTGGCTCTGGATGTTTCTACTCCAGACTCAGTCCACTGCTTCCGCAGGTCCCCCAAGGTCTGGAATCGGTCCTTTTCCACAATCTTCCTCAGGGTCTGGTCACATTTTCTCGTTGTGCAGCGTTTTTTGCCACACTTTTTCCTTCCCACAGACTTCCCACTGAGGTGCCTCGATACAGCACTCTGGGAACAGCCTATTTGTTCAGAAATTTCTTTCTGTGTCTTAGGCCGGGTGTCCACCAAAGCGTTTTTAGCCAGCTGAAAACGCTAGACGCTCTGCTGAAGACGCCGTGCTTTGGGCACTTGAGAGTGTTTTGGCGTTGAGACGTTTCGTTGCTATGATACAGAATGTCCGCTGCAGTTTGAATGTTGTGACAGTTGGTCGGTGTGGTATTAGTCCCGCCCCTCCTCCACTGTGATTGGATGGCTGGGTAAAAAGTGACAGTGATGAGCACTGCGTTTTATCCAAAGTTGAACATTTTTCAACTCCCAGCGACCAGTAAAAAACGCTGGGCACTCGGCGCTTCAGTGTGAAAAAAATGCTCAGCGCCTCGGTACGCTCATGGTGTTTAAAAAACGCAGCGCTCCCATTGAAAACAATTGAAAACATACGCCAGGCGCGTGGAAAAACGCTTTGGTGGACACACACAGCCTTACTCTCTTGCTTGAGGGTGTCAATGATGGCCTTCTGGACAGCAGTCAGGTCGGCAGTCTTACCCATGATTGTGGTTTTGAGTAATGAAACAGGCTGGGAGTTTTTAAAAACCTCAGGAATCTTTTGAGGTGTTTAGAGTTAATTAGTTGATTAAGATGATTAGGTTAATAGCTCGTTTAGAGAACCTTTTCATGATATGCTAATTTTTTGAGATAGGAATTTTGGGTTTTCATGAGCTGTATGCCAAAATCATCAGTATTAAAACAATAAAAGACCTGACATATTTCAGTTGGTGTGCAATGAATCTAAAATATATGAAAGTTTAATTTTTATCATTACATTATGGAAAATAATGAACTTTATCACAATTTGCTATTTTTTTTGAGAAGGACATGTATCTCAACAGAACATGAAGGTTGGCTGATGTAGGTGTTGCATTATTCCACATTGACGCATAGGCGGCGCTATTTCTCTGTGTTTTGTCCAGTTAGCGCACAGTGGGAGTGTTCCGCCTCTGTCAAGGGCTCCTTCTCCAACACTGCTGTCATTTACAACCAGAAAACACACAAAGAAAGACGACTGGTGAGAGTGTAAATCTGAGCGCGTGACAGTGCTGCATGTGTGTCCGTGTTCATGCTGTCTGCGGGTCGTCGGGTCTGATCTCGGGCGCAGGTGGATCATTTACCGCATTCATCAGCTGAGCCTCGGACATCAGCATCAGCATCAGTCGGTAAGACAACTACTCATATAAATGATTCATGCCAGTAAGTTACATCAGATCACATCAATTAACTTCACGATACGACTCAACTGCTTTATTAATAAGCCTGAATAAGTAGCCCAATGAAACCATATTTTCCTGTAGCCTAAATGGATTTATGCTTTGAATAATAGTAACTGGTTTCATAAGAGGGGAATGCAGCAAATTTTCATAATCATTAAAGGATTTTATTATAGCAAGACATAACGGGGGTATATAGCAAGACATAACGTCAATGTGTAGTATTACACATTATCTGTATTGGTAGGCTATAGACGGCGTTCATGTGTGCTGGAACATTATGATCCTGCTACTGCACATTATGATAGACACAGCCTTACAGAAATTATGCAGTAGGAACTGTTGAATACCAGTACATTTTAGGAAGTAGTTTATATTCATTCTGTTTTGACTTGCTTTTACTAGCAAAGCAAAATCAGATGACTCACTCATTGTTATGAAAATGAGAATTTTAGTCTTAGCGTTGCATTGAAAAAGTGAAATTCATGATAGATTGGTTATACCTGGTGCATAAAATTCAATTCACATCTATTTGTATAGCACTTTTCACAATACACATCGTTTCAAAGCAGCTTTACAGCATATCCATATTACAATTTAGAGTGATGTGTTATCAGAGGTGTCTAAGTTACTTCAGAAATGTACATATACAAAATCACAGTTAGCTAAAAATGTATTAATTTAACAATGTAATAATTTAAGGCAAAAACAATGAGCTCAATTGAAGTAATGAATACTTGTTTAAAATGTATGAACACACTCTTTTGACCTCACATCCAATATAGGTGTCTTTTTTTCTTTAGTAGAAGATCTGAAACAGTGGTCATTGGTGATTGATTAAATACAAGTCAATGGCTACCATCCAACCCGATCTCACGACCAAATCGTACGAAATCGACGCATGATTAAAAAGTGTCTAAATCGTACTAACTCGTACGAATTAGTATGATTTTGCTAAATCGTACATTTTACGAATTGGCCAATTCGTATGAATTTGTACGAATGACCTACCCTTTACCCCGCCCCTAAACCTAACCATCACGTGGGTTTAGACAAATCGTACGAATTCGGACGAGTGAGGTCGTACGTGAAGCCATCTTCGGAAAACAGTCTCAAATAGTCAAACCACAAACGACATGCTAATTGAGCTGAACTGTATGAAGTTCAGCGAACTTCTGAACTCTATGAATGGCATTCGTGGTTCGACTTGTCGAGACTGTTTTCCAAGATGGCTCCTGCCTGTATACACAAAGTGAACTGTCTTTATTAAATATCTTCTTATTAAACGGTCTGTACACTTACAGTTCTCAATGCTTCGTTTTGCATGTATATCGCTTTGTACAGTTACTGCAGAACAACTCAATATGTCGGTAGAAATTAAAGTTTAAGCTCCAATCTCCTCCTGAAGATCCCGAAAAAGTCTTTGGTGCCTCAGTGGCTGTCAATCTGATCTGTCAATCATGACGTCACACTCAACCGTTTTTAACTAAAACCAAACTTATTTAAAAAACGAACATTTGATCTTACATCAGCGTGATGAAAACTACCTAAAATGTATTTGAAGTGTAATTTGATTGTTTAGTTTGTCTCACGTCTTATTAGATCACAATGGAGTGGGCGGTGTCTAAGTTACTTCAGTCTAAGCTCATATAGGTTTATGAGCTATACCGCATCCAGCCACCTGGGGGCGATAGAAACAGTTTGACTTCACTTTTCAGGACTTGAGACAAATCACATTTGTTTGATTGATTTTACTTTTAGGACGTTTAGACATCTGATGATGTTTTAGGTCATATTTATGCAGAAATATAGAAAATGCTAAAGGATTCATAAACATTCCCGCACCACTATGCTATTATGCGACAGGAAGCATAAGACCTCATTGTATCACCGTAAAGTAATTTTCTGTTTATTGTAATCATCTCTCTGGTCACAGTGCGGCAGAGAAAGCAGATATGGTCTTTGCTCTGCGGTGTGACATGTGAGACTCGCAGTCAGGAAAGTATATTGTCAGCAGAGTCGCTCGCATCATGGTTGTGCAGAAAGGAAGGAAACGACCTTTATCAAAACACATCAGTCAAACGTACGTAGTGTGCAGCACTGAACACCTCGCTGATTAAACCTTCATTATTAATCATTCTGGTCAATCAATATCTGGACTTGGCTACTTAATTATTGGCATTATGTTTAGAATGTGTAGCCTGAGTAGAGCTCGATCCCCAGTGTAACTTAAAGTCCCCCTGTAGTCAATAACTTTATACCTTAAAACTCTTATTTGATCACCAAAATTACATATTTAAACATTTTTTCCTTGAGAAAAAGTTCTTCATGCCTTAAAATCAGAGGTGGAAAGTAAAAGTTACAGTAGGCCTACTTGAGTAGATTTTTCAGCTTTTCTACTTTCTTTAGTACTAACAATTTATTAGTACTCTATCCACCACTGCTTAAAATATCTTGAATGTAACTCGACACTCTTGCCTCATTTAGCATATGCGGTGCTATGAATATGCAAATGAGCTCCGCCTCCACTCACTCACTCAGCTCAGAGATCCACTCGTTGACGATCACACGTTGATCTGATTGGTTACAAGATAGCGTGTGACGTCAGAAATGTATACTAAATGAGACAAGGGTGTAGAGTTACATTCAAGCTATTTTAAGTCTACATGGGGATTTTAGAGTAACAGCATCTTACTTGATCTTGTAGAGGTGAGGGAAGGATGCTATTGAACACTGTGTTTTTTATGCTTTTCTTTTTCTGCTTTGCTCGGACCGCTTCAGGCTTAAGTTGCATAAAGTGTTGCATCTGTTATTATTTGGATCTTGATTGTACGAGCAAGATTTAGTTGCCAAAGGCCAACAGCTTGGATTAAATCCACAGGCAAATCCTATCAGAACTTTTGTGAACCCAAGAGCAGTTAGCAAATTAGAAATTGAATTGGTGAGCGGAAAGTTGTACCCACTGGTTAGTCGTATAAGTAACCCAAAATTAATGTCATTATGATGTCCCACATATGTATGCATGGATTTTTTTTAAATCAAATTTTTTAAAGAACATTTTCATATATATTCGTAAAAAAATACTTGTCAAATTCACTGTCAAAAATCTGAGCGTATAGGTTGATAGAATGAGATATGAGGGTGAATGAATATCTGCAAGCTTCAGTAAGAGTGTATTACTGTTTTTGCAAACTAGTTCATCATATTATCCAAGTGCAAATCAAATAATCTTTATTTGGTGCTAAGCACAGAAATCCGGTCAAATACTCATTGAGTGAGAGATTGCACCATTGTTATTCAGGAACAAAACAAGAGTGTATTCAGATTGTTTTAATACCAAGACTGTGAAAGCGCTTTTTTTTTTTTTCCCAAACCATTGCATTTTTCTACGAGTGTGTTCCAGCATGCTGTTAAGCCGCGTGTTTGTAGTCAACACTGCAGAATGCTCAGGAACGTCCTAATCTAATCTAGCCTCCATATGTTTCTCTTTAAGAGATCCTCCCATGCTTAAGACCTTTCGTCTGTGCGATGGTCAGAAATTCCTTACATAATTGTACCTTGGCACTTGTCCCTGAGAGTTTGTGGCATTTCAGCTTTAATTCAGTTTTGGCCTTTGCTGAACAACCACACGTAAAGTTCATGTTAACTAGAATATCCAACAGGGTGTTTGATGTAAACAATGTTAAAGAGTGTAGAATATTTGGTGTTTTTATTCCAGGACAAGCATTATATCAAAGTATTAAACTTGCAACACGGGGCTCATTGGAAAAATGTGTTTGCAAAAATCCAATACACTTTCAAAACTTCAGTTTCCCACTGAAATGAACACTGGAGGTTGAAAAAACATCAACAAAGTTTATTATTTTTCACACAAATGAAATTATGATTACAGGGGACGATTATCAAGTAATAAAGGCTTATTTTCGTGCAGTTTCTTGCACAATACTATGTTATGAGCCGAAAAAACTTTTATCATAGTGCATAGATCTGTAAAGTAATACATTTTGACATTTGCATCACATAATCAGCTCCGTATATATGACATTTCTAACATGTACAACCTGGTACAGCATTTTGATTAAAAAAAAGCTCAAAGCTCACTTGTAGAAGCAGCTAAACGGACATTGTTACTTCAGCAAATATATTTATCTCACGTTTGCTTTGTTAACACTATCAGTCAGGTTTAGCATTAAAAACAAAATAATAGTCCAATGCACTCGAATTAGAAAAAACGTTAAAAAGCCTTTATTTTATCATGGCTTTTATCAATAAAATTGGTGACAGATACACCTATGCGTTGCGGCTAATGCCTTCGTCAGGGTGTGCGTGGAGAAAGTGGTGCGATTGAGCATTAACAACATGCATTTCATTTCAGAACTCGATACGTGCAACAACCAATGCAATAAAACGTTGACAGATTTACATTTTTACGTTTACATCTGTTTTAGATTAGACTTTTAGCACCACTGGACATTTGACTTTGAAAGCGTGATAAAATGCGCAAGAAGCAACGTAATATCATGTTTCCCAAATGTTCCACAAGCTCGATTTTCCAATGAACCTGAGTTAAAAACTTTGGTGGTAACTCATCCCATTTGTTCAGTGAACATAAGAAAATCTCTCAAAACATGCGGATTGTTGAGAAGGTGTGTTATTACTATTCTAAGCTATTGAACTGCAGGTTAATGATAAAAATACAGAATCTGTATTAAAGGACATGAGACTTATCTAGGCACTGAAATATCATAGACACTCTTTTCACTTCAGTAAATAATCACAATGCAGCAGAACACACTCACAACTGCATATCATCATACTGAAAACCACTGGAAAAACTGCTCCTCCAACCACATGATCAACTTGCTGTGTGAATGTCTCTTCTACAGCTGAGAAACTCTGTAAGGCATCTCGCTGATGTTATTTCAATCAGTTTCATGGAGTGCAGAGAC